TCTGTGTGTGTGTGTCTCTGTGTGTGTGTGTGGGTGGGTAGGTGTACGAGGAGGTAGGCATGTCCATCAATGGGACAGAACATAGGGTTCTAAGAGCAGACTCTAACAAATGCCCGCTTTTCAAAAACTGCTGCTGTTTTGACAAAGGAGCTAGTCAGTTCAGTGGAATGAGGGCCATGTCTTCCTCAAATGGTGCTGAAGCTATAGGACACACGTAGCAGAAAACCAACATTCATTTAAATTCTGCATTAAAGCAGGTCACAGGCCTAAGCATAAGATGTAACATTATAAAAGTTTTAGAAAAATATAGGAGGAAAACCTTTGGGAACTAAGGCTTAGCAGACATTTTTTTAGATTTCACTTCAAAAGCACAAAAGGAAAAATAAATCAATCAGTCAGCCTATTAAGAGGCTGGCAAAGACATACTACAACTCTGAGTGTCTTTCATCCACACATCTGACAAAGGGCTAACATCTGATGTGGTGTTTTGAAAGAGAGATGCCCCCCATAGGCTCGGGTATTTGAACACTTGGTCCCCAGATGGTGGTGCTGTTTAGGGGCTAATGTGGTACAGCCTTTCTAGAGGCTCCATCACTGAGGGCAGGCTCTGAGGTTATTTATCTGCACCCCACTTCCAGTTCCTCTCTCTGCTTTGTGCTTACGGTTGAGGATGTGAGCTGTCAGCTTTCTGCTCTGGCCTCTAGGCCTGCTTCTTGCTGCCCTGCCTCCACTCTGCCATGGTGGACTCAACCCTCTGGAACCTAAGCCCAAATCAGCTCTTCCTTAAGTTGGCTTTGGTCATGGTGTTTTATCACAGCCACATAATGGGAACTAATCCACCTAGTACATATAAGAAAGTGAACTCTGAAAACTAAGAGGACAGCAAGAACAAAACCTCCCAATTAGGGAGTGAACAGCGGAGAAGGTATACAGATGGCGCACACAAGCAGAGGAAAAGCTCAACACCTTTAGCCATTAGGAAGCACACACTAAAGCCACTATGAGCTAGGACTATGTGTCTCTTAGAGCAGCTAAAATAACACATACTGACCCAATAAAATGCTGGTGGGCTGTGGGGACACACACATCTCAGCACCAAAGAAGAAAACTATTGATGGATACAGTTTGGGCCACTCTCCAGAGAACTGCTAAGTGAAAACAGCCAGCCCAGGCATGCATGCCGTATGATTTCACCTGTATCAAATGCTGGAAACGTCAAGAGTCTAAACATGAAGAACAGATTAGTGGTTGCCAAGGACCAGAGGAGGTCAGGAAAAAAGTGGATGTGCTTCAAAAACAGCAAGAGGAGGGACCCACTGTGTGCTGTAGTTTATGGCTAGTGAGTACCGTGGTCCTGGTACTGCACCATAATTGCACTCATTTTGTGATGTGTTGCAATTGCCGGAAACTGGCTAAAGATGGTAGACTCCTCCCATCTCTCCATTGGTATTACAGCTTCATTTGAATCTATAAGTATCTCAATTTTTAAAATTAATTTAAAATCAAAGAATGATTACAGGAGGGAAAAGGTTCCAAGAAAATTGCAGGGTGTGGTGCGGTGAGGACCACATCTCTTAGTAGAGACGGTGAGTGGGGGCTGAGGAGGTGACACTGGAGGTGAGGGGTAAACAGCTGGGCTGGAGGCCTGGGCAAAGCTTGGACAGGAGGGAAGACTAGGGTGGGACGGGGGCTTTGATGTTTTGAGAACAAAGGGGGCTGGTTGGCAGCTAGCTCAGGGCACACTCCCTTTGAATGAGTGTCCTACAGGAACAGCAGATGGCGTGTGGACATGACCTACAGGCCAGTCTCTGTTTGTGTCTGCCCAGCAATTTCTGTCTGCCTTTGCTCTGTCTCTGGAGCTTCTGTTCCCTCTCTACAGCCTAGGCTCCATCCCTACAGCCTGGGATCCATCCCTACAGCCTGGGATCCA